GGGGGGGGGGGGGGGGGGGGGGGGGGGGGGGGGGGGAGAGAAGAGGCAGATCCAGCCCCGCTTTACAACTGGCTGCTCTGAGCTGTCAGAGCTCGTCTTTTCCAGATGGAAAATAACAAACTTCAGATCATATGTGATGAAAATGACCAAAAAGAAACAGAGAGTTGGGCTATTGTAATAACACCGGCTCTAAAAAAACGAAAAACACAAAAAAGTGGGACTAAAAGAGATCTGAAACAATGAATAGATAGCTAGCTAGATAGCAAGATAGATAGATATATAGCAAGATAGCTATCTATCAAGATAGATAGATAGATAGCTTGATAGATAGATACAAATAATAGTTTAATAATCAATTAACTACTGTCCTCTGAGCCAAGAATCTCCAGTTCTACCAGCGAGCGGGACTGGAGCTATTCTTTGTTTCTGGACAGCACCCCCCCTTCACGGAGAGCATTTCGGATCTGGTTCAGGCCAACAGGAGCTCAGTGAACAGAGGGGGGGACGTGAGACTCTTTGGGCTGATTGAAGACCAGACCGTGGTGTGGTGGTCAGCACCATTGACTCACAGCGAGAAGGTTCTGGGTTGGAGTCCCAGGGGGGAACCAGGACCTTTCTGGGTGGAGTCTGCATGTTCTCCCTGTGTCTGTGGGTTCTCTCCGGGTTCTCCGGCTTCCTCCCACCATCCAGAAACCTGCATGCTAGGTTGATTGGACACTCTAAGCTGCCCTTAGGCTTGAGTTTGAGTGTGAGTGGTTGTTGGTCCTTGTGTGTCTCTGTGTCCACCATGAACTGGTGGACCGTCCACTCCGCCTCTCGCCCATTGACTACTGGGATAGGCTCCAATCCCCCCCGCAACCCCATTGGATGGATGAAGACCAGCCGTGCCGCCGTGTTCTGGGTCATCTGTAGCGGTTTTAGCATCCAGGCTGGGAGACCGGTCAGGAGATAACCACAGACTGACCAGGAGCTGGGCGGCGTGTTGGGTTAGGTCTTCACTGGATTGTTGTTTTGGTTTTTTTTTGGGACGTAACTGGCGTCTGCCCTGAACTTCTCTTGTTTCTTATGCATCTGTGTGTTGTCCCTCCCCCTTAATGCTAACACCTTTTAAAAGCCTAACCAGGGACGAAGGCTGCAAATTAGCCCACGGCTACAA